TGCTGAAATAATTTGTTTTGTTCCTAGCCTAGAAGAAAGGAGGGGCTTTTCAACTGAAGACAGGTAACATTAATGTTTTTAATAATTTAATGTGCTAATAGTTCCTTTTTTCTTTTTTTTTCTTTTTTTTTTTCTTTTTTTTTTTTTTCTTTCAGGGCTAAATATCACAAATTAAAATATGGCACAGAATTGAATCAGGGAGATATGAAGCCACCAAACTATGATTCTGGTAAGAATTTATTAAGAATGAGTTCATTACAGGCATAAAAGCTTAACTGTGGTTTGTGCAGATGCTGAAATGATAGTGTTGATAAAATAAGCCACTTAATGGAAGCAGTGGGAATAGAGATAATTAGTAAAGACTGTATTGTACTGTTATAAAATTAAAAATATGTGCTAATGCTCTGAGTCTATTAATAAATCAAATGAGTTTCGATTTAAAAAAACCCAAACCAACAAACTACTCATGGAGTGAATGTTTTTTTTCTCTCCCTTAGTAATGTGTATGGATGTTTTGGAGCAAAGAGATACTAGATTTAGCTGAGAATCCGTTTATCTTTGAATAATTATTCTGAATAAAAAGTTAATGGCAAAAGACATGAAATGTATAAATTTTTGCTCAATTACCTCAATGGTATTCCAGGAGAAAAAAATAATGAAAGTGCATATTAGACGTAAGTGAGATTTTGGAAGTGGGGAGTTTATTTACAAAATTATGACTACCTTTGGAATTGCATACAACTAACTTCAGTTCTGTGCTCTGCTGAGAGAGGACTGTTTTTCATCTTGTGGAAAGCTGATTTGTTTCTCTAGAGGTTGCATCTCGTTCTTCACACAAATAGTTTAAAGCACTGAACTTGAGGAATTAAAAATTTAAACTACTTCCTTTAATCCTTCTCTCTATCTCCCTATCCTTTCCTCAGAAAAAAAAGAAAGGCTACAGAGATCTGGTTATAGGTCAAGCCCTTGAAAGGATAAGTAATAGGTGATGATTTTTGTATCTCAGTCCCCTGATACTCTTACTACAGCAACGAAACTAGAACCCACCTGTACATAAAGGAAGAATATAGAAACTCTGCAGACATCAGCTCTGTCACTTGGTTTATGGAAGGGATGGTCTGGTTTACTGTTATGGTTAACTCTTATCCTATTTGATTCAGAAGGTCATTAAAAAAAACCCAACCAAACAAAAAATCCAACTCCATACCAACTGATGAAACTTTACACTAGGCTTTTCTCGTCCAAGATACAATGAATTTTTGAGAAATTTTATTTCATGTTATTTCAAATTTATTTCCTCAATTGAAGAAATAATTTAATTTGGTATTACTCAAGCGGAAGACCCCAATCTGTATCTGAACCACTAGAAAATTTTGTCCTGTTCATACCAATATCCTAGACATCCTTGGTTTTTGTAATTTCTTGGGATGCAGATGCAACTATAGTGTGTTGCTCCACTCTCCAGCTGAGGAACGTAGTGCAGGGCCTGGCTTGCCCAGCAGAGCCGTAGCCAGTGCATTACTTCTGCAAAGTGAACACTAGTGGAATTACTTTTGTTAAAATTCCGTTGTCCTGGTTTATCCCATTGCATTCTATATATGTAGCTGTGAGAAATGTACACTTTTTTGCGATATCAAATTGGACTGATTAAAGATACACATTTGTTATCATGCTCCTTTGGAGTTGTCTTTGATAGATACTTACTTGTATGTCTGTGCCTTCCCTCCCCACCCCTGTTTTTCCTCCCCAGTCAGGAGAGTGTTTCTGGTAGTTCTTCCAAATGCATCCTTGTTGTTTGTGTTCTCTGTGATCTCTTGGGGAGTCAGTAATACAGTTTAGAAGAAAGAGTTCAATCTCTTGATAAAGGGGTGCCTTTTTCCCCGCCCCCCCCCCCACCCCCCGGCTGATGCTGACTTCTGCTGTTACTTGCTCATAATGCAAGTCCCTTCATTTGTATCTGTAAGCTGCTGTTACCACTAGCGATCGTCAGTTTTGAGGAAACTAAGCAAAAGAGAATTCGTGCCTGTAGATGTAGTTAATAGTGCCTTCAGAAGAAGGGTTTTTGCTTTCAAATGGAATTCTCAGGCAGATTTATCTCAGTCATGTTTTAATTCTTAGAGAGTGAGTATTGCACCCAGGTGTGTTCAGTTGTGCAATTATTTCCCACAGCTGCTGTTAAATGGATTTGTGAATTTGACATGGATAAAATTCATATGGCTCTACTTGCATGTGAATTCTGATTAGTCTTTGATAGCTTCTTTGGGTAAGTGGTAGTTTTTGTGTGTGTGGTTTTAATTCAGCTGCTTAAAGGCAAATGACTTCTCAGTAAGGACAATAGCTTTCCCACATCACATATCAAGTTATGCATAGGATTATACCACAGGTTTTTCTGGTTCTTAATTTTTGTTTACATAAGAAGATTGTTCATCCTTCAGTGTTTGGACCACAAGGTTTTCAAGTTTTGTAGAGGCTTTCGTAGATAATAAACCAAGATATTTTATCTTGGGAAGCATATGTTTATGTATTTCCTGGAGGAGGGGAGAGAAACCCCACCATCATGCAGTATAAAGCTATACATGGAATAAATGTGTAGCTGTCGGTTGCCAACATTCAGATAGGTTTCTCACCAGAACAGCCACATAATTTTTTTGTGGATTTTCCCAGAGTAGTACTGTTTGGATACAAATTTATGGTTGTGGAAAATGTGGTGAAAATTTTTCAACAGCTTTTCAGGTTAAAAAGTAAACAAACCACCCCTGCTGTATTTTTCTCCCCCTTCCACAAAACTAATACACATATGGATGAATTTAAAGTTGATGTGAGTAGGTCTGTTGGTTTTATGTTGTACGGTCAAATATTAAGGCAATTGGTACTGTGCTGCAGTTGCATTGGATTGTTAGCAGTTAAAGATGTTTGTATTCAAATTTAAATTGGAGCAGCAATTGCATTGGAAGGTTAGTGCAAAAATGGAACTCCAGATTGTCTATGTGATTGTACTCCTTCAAAGAAAAAGGAGTAAGATGGGGCTTTTGAATGTGAGGCGGAAGGGAAGGCACTGGTGACTAGTGGAACTTGCTTTCATACAGTAGTATGTACCTGACAATCTTTATGTGTACATAGTACTACAGTTAGGTGCTATGTGCATTTTTTTCTTCTCTCAATTGATTATTTGCACTTTTGAATCTTTTATTTTTTCATTAAACCATTTCTAATAGTTTTAAGACAAATCATATCTTTTCAAGTGGATGGTCATCTTTTTAAAAAGTAGGACAAGGAAAAAAAATGTTCAATGTTCATAATTAAATAATCTTTTCCAGATGAAGGGAATGAAACTGAGATTCAGCCACAACAGAACAGTCAGCTAATATGGAAACAAGGGCGACAGCTGTTAAGACAGTAAGTGTTGAAAAAAGGACTTCAATAACGAATGCAAGATACGAATCTGGTAATGAAATGTGATGATGGTGTTATTTGATTTTTTTTTTTTGTTAGATTTTCTTTCAAGAAAAATTAGTGTGTGTGGTGAAGTTCATTCAGCTTCTGCCCTACTTTTCCTATTTTTTTTTAAATTTTTAATATTTCAGAACTTCAAATGAGAAGCTTTGTCAAATCACGAACGCCTAATCTCCTTTGCTTTTCTTTCATGGAGTGTAATAAAACAGTCTGCTTGAGAGAACAGTGGGTTGTTGACACGTTGCAATTCTTTCTGCAATTAAAAAACAACACATACAAGTCATTCTGTTAAGAGATATGCAAAATAAAAATAACTGGTGTTGGAGGGGAATAATTTTTATTTTAGCCTACTCTGGGTGCAGAAAAGACTAATATCCAGAAGCTTAGACTAGAAGTTTTCTAATTCTCAGTTCATCTCAGTGAAGCAAATGTCTGTAAATCTAAATCACTTTTTGAATTGTGGTCATAATACGTTAATGTCCAAGTATTTGGTCACATTTTTGTGTGTGGGTGGTTTTTTTTTTCTTCATTACAGCCCTTGGTTTACATTGAAGAGGTCTCTTTAAAGACCTCTCATGAGCGTGTCTCTGTTTTCTCATGCATTTGCCTCATCCCCTATTGCTGATAAATTCTAAGGTCTTCTGATCAGCTAGCAAAACTTCTGCTTTCTCACTTTTTTTTGGTGTGTGTTACAGAGGTTTAAATGAGAGGGGAGACAGACAGTAAGGACATTCTAGCATTTATATTTAAGGACCTTTTTCCAAGGAATTATAGAAGAGTTAAATTTTGTATATGCTTTTCTTTTTGAAGAGCTGAGATCTTTGCATGTATGTTGAATAAATGTAAATAAAGTAGCCTTGCCTTGGACCAGTGATTTTGAAGCCAGTAATCAATATTTCTCTCCTAATGTGGTTATGTAGAGAATATTGTTAAATAATTGGAGGAGAATGTTCTTGCAGGAAAAGTGCATGTCCTTGATTTGTAACAGCTGTTATTGTAAAATAGCATTTCCCCTCTTTAGAGTCCTTTAGAATATTGACCATTTAATGAGTTCAGTGCTCCTGAGAAGGCAGTGCTCTTAACTCCATATTCTAAAGGAAAGGACAGAGACCAATTTTTACTTTTAAAAATAAAATAAAACTAAAAAAATAATTATTTGCTCCCTGCCCCACCAAAGGCAATATGGCATATTGATGAAAGAGCCAACTTTAGACCTTGAAGTTTTCATACAAGCTAGTCCAGGATTCTGGCTGCCCAGCCCTTATTCACAAGTCAAATTAATATTTTGTAGATCCATTGCAGAGTGAGAAAAAGGCAAGGCAAAGACTTTATCAAACCTAGTGTGTTACAAGCTACAACTCTTACTAGTAGCTACAGCTACAAAATTTGGTTTTATTCCCTCTGTTTTCTAAGGCTTCTAATAATGCTTACGTAAGGAACGTATCTGACACTTCTTGTAAGGCTTCATGTGTAGTTTCCATGTGTTGAAGAACAAAACAGCCATGTTGTACATGTAACCGTGGTGATCTTTATAAGCCAGTTGTAAATATTTTAATTGAAAGTGCTTTTCCATCCCTTTTAGTAAATGAATGAATAACGTATTGTATAACCTCTGACTGCTAGGCTCTTTGATTTGTGGTGGTTTTTTTTTTTCCTCAGTGACTGTAGAGGCTGGTACTGCAAGAGGCGATCCCTCTGCAGCTGGTACAGGATGATTTGTAAGCATGTTTTAGTAGCACAGCACCATACTTTGCTAAGCTAAGGGGTTGAAGATGAGATTAGGGAGGAGTTTTCATTTACTGTTCTGAACAAGTGAGATGTGCATGGAAGATTAGCATGAGTTCTGTTCCTACAGGTATCTACAAGAAGTGGGCTACACCGACACGATACTGGATGTGAAATCCAAACGAGTACGAGCTTTATTGGGCCTCTCAAGTGATGCTTCAGAGAAGGAAAACAGAAGTCAAGAGCCGATGGTAAATGGCACAGAGGGCCAGATTAAGGAAAACGCAATGATTGGGTAAGCATCAGGATGACAATGTTTTCTTTCTGCATAAATGCACTTAACTGTGTAGAACAAATTTTTGTTTACTGAGATGTCAGGATTTTTTTCCCTAATTGGAGATCAGAGCAATTTTAACGAATATTATTACATTAAGCAATAAGTATGGAAGTAACTTAAGATTCACAGCTTAAAAGCAGCATAAGTTTTGGGTTTTTTCAGTTGGATGGCAGCAGAAAGTCAAATCAAGCCTATGATTGAGATACGTATTGATTAGAGATATGATTACTAAGTGGTTAGAGGTCAGCGTTGTTTCAAGTTAACGGTTTATTTGTACTGCTGGAAACATTACTGTATTGATTACAGGCTTTGCACTCTGGTCTGTGCTGACTATGACGTGATAATCTATATGAGATACAGGATTTTTTTGACCGGGTCTGAAAAACAAATTAATTTGTTACATTCTGATTCCTGTAAGTTTTTGGTTTTCCACTAGTGGATATACATATGTAAATGTGACTAAAATGTAAGGTATTCATCTCTGTCTTTCACTATTTCTAATACTATGAAAAGTCACTCAAGGAGAGTAAAAGCTTGTAGTGCTTACTTTTGCTTTTAAGTAACACTGAAAACATAAGAGGCTTTTTTCCATTTTCTTCTCTTTTCCATGCAGAGTTTAAAAAAAAAAAAAAGTTAAATCTGAAACTTAACTTTAGATGCTTCAGAAAAACTGTTTCTTCTTGTTTACGATATTGTAGTTGCAAAACTTGAAAAATAATGAAAATTATGCAGAATTGTTTGTCTGAACAATACATAAGGTAACTGTTCCCAGTAGTTTGTGCTACATCAGCAAGCACAACTTTCCTCAAAGATTCTCCTTCTTTTTTCCTTTTCTGTACTGATGTGGCAAAATTCAAGACCTTTCTTTTCTAAGATCTAATAGTGTTGTATGACACATTCTGTCTTTTAAAAAGCATTTGTAAAATTTCATTATACCCAGCAGATAGCTTCAGCAGCTTCTGGCCAACAAGTTACATAAGGGCTGAAGTTCATTGTTACGTAATTAAATTTAATGCTGTAAGGTGGAAAATTCATACAAGGAAACCCAGAAGCTACTAAAATTCATAGTGCTGCGAAGTAGTTGACAGGCCATGTCATTTATGTACAACAGCTTTGTTTTTGAAGAATAAGGACTGCTTGATAGACTACAGTAATAACTTTGATTTCTGTTGAAGAGGTCACTTCTCAGGGGAAAAGGGGAAATAAAGCTCTTCTTCTTACAATTTAAAATTTATTATATGTGTTTCCTTTGATTGTGAAACAGTTGGATATATAAGGTAGTTATATGATGAATGAAATGGTTGGATGGTAGTTTTGATATAGCAGTTTTGGTTACGTTTGCATTTCTTTCTTATCTATTTGCTTTCTGGGTAGATGTGATACTAGGTTTAACACTTAGTAGTTTACCCTATGGCTGAGGATATTCAGTGATGGAGACAAATGAGTTTCCTTCCATTGTGGTCTGCAAGGTTGTCAGCTGCAAGACTGGTCAGACTGCACGGTTTTCATCTCACTTCTGATACGTAAGATGGCAGACTATTAGATAGCTTAGGGGAGCATTTTGATACATGATGTGCGAGACATGACTCCAGGGATTTACAGTGGAAGAATTTTCCGGGGATCTTGTTCATCATAGAGTCACATCAATTTTCATGGGTGATTTTGAGTTTGTGGATGTCAGCTGAGATCTCCCTCACTGAGAGAAAAAAGTTGGGATTTTACTGAAATTCCTTGCTCAGTCTGAGTACAGGACTAGCTTTCAATGCTGTGATTCTTCTGGGTGTTACAAGTATGCTTTCAGAGGGTGTCTTTGAATTTTCCATGCAGGAGGCATTCTGTGGCTTTCTTCTTGGCAGAGACTGCTTGTTATTTAACAGCTATTTCATCTTCTGCTACTAGATACTGTAAAATGTTACACCTTACTGTTTCTGTGGGCATGTGGCACTGTTCACTTCCCAACTGCTTCATCGCTTGCCTCTGAGATTTCAAAGTACAGCTTTATGGCAGATAGGAAATCAGAAATGAGATGAGATGTTCTCTACTAGCTCATACTTACCTGTTCCCTGCCTCATCTGTTGTCAGCGTTGCTTAAACATGTATAGAACAGCTTCTTTTTGAAGAGTATTTGAAGAGATGACTAAGATTTAAGGTACATGCTGCTGATCCCAACTGGAATTCTGAGTGTTTGAAAACTTAATTCAATGCTTTTTTCCCAGTTGGCAGAACTGGGAAAAACTTAGGTGGCTCAGCTAACTTAATTCTGGCTTACAGTCAAGGTAGGGGCACTCTCCGAAGCAACCTCAACAGTGCTAAGCTGCTTACCAGGACGGCGAAAAGATTGGCAGTTCTTTTAGCAGCCTCTTGTTACTCCTAGCACGCATGTAAAGTGAGAAGACGATTGGAGCTACAGCAAGCTTGTATGGTTGGAAGGAGTTGCCTGCACAAGTGCCTGCAGTTTGGTAGTGGTAGAGGAGGAAAGTTATGGTGAGAGACTCAAAGAACAGGAAACCAACCAAAACCTTAGTCCAATCCCATGAGGTTTAAGGACATATGTGTGAGTTTGCCAGGACCACCAGACTTTGGGACAGTTGCAACCTAAATTGCAGATGGAAGATGCTCTGTGGCTGTATGGATACGGTGAAACTCTTTGTAGGAGAAAGCTTTGCTGTCACCAGAGAAACCTGTGAACTGCTCAAGCCAGTGCAGTTTGGCAAATTTTGTGGTTCAAAACATTTAATGAATGTCAATGTTAAATATCTGCTAGCAAGTCTGAGGCTAGTGGTTAACCTGAAGATGTTTTGGTTACATTTGAGGAGCAGAGTACTGGGCATAATGTAATGCATGGAAATGAGTTTAGTCTAACAAGGAATACCTCTGTTAAAGTAAGAAAATGCAGCTCATAGAGCATTTGATTTGTTTGATCTTGGAAGAACTGCACAATATTGTGGACACAGCTGAGACTGGATTTTAAGTCTGATTTTTAGAATAAATGTTTCCATGGAAGGAAGAATGTGACAAGCTGAGTACGGGGATTGAATAAAGAGAAAGCTTGTGGGTGAAAAACAGTGAAGACAAATCAACAGGAGCTTGGAAAGAATGTGGGTGCATGTGATGAAGATAATGTACAATAGAGAGGAAAACATCACAGTGAAACACAGAAGGAAAATGGATAAAAAGATCCATTTCAGGAACACGAAAATGGAAGTCACATTAGCTTTAAATTTCCTTAAAGATTCCTTCATATAGCAATGTAAGTTGCAGAAAGAACAGATTAGCTAAACTGTCTTCTGTACAACTGGACACTTACGTGATAAATCCCAAAGAAAGTAAAAAAAAAAAAAAGAAAAGGTATTTGATGCTTATTTGCCTCTGCATGGTTACCTCTTTGGGAGGAGAGAGTGGATAATGAAAACGGGAAACAAAACTTCCTTTATGTTTTGACTATAGTTTATTGGTAATCAACCAATACTTTCTCAGTGAAATGAAAGTGGTGGAGAATAAAACAAATTGCTACTGAGAGAAGTTATAGTAAAACAACGGAGGAGCTGATGTACTTTTCAACAACAGTCTGATTTTTAGCATGGTTTTTGTGTAAGCCCATTAATCCATGTATAGTGATTGTTGCTGCCACTCAGTCTCCTTCAACAATACCTCTGATCTACCCCTGACTGTACTTCTGACAATAGCAGACCCTTGTGCTTTCCTTTTTTCCCCTTTTTTCCCTTTTTTCCCCCTTTTTCCCTCCTTTTTCCTTTTTCTTGCCTTTGTTGTCAGGGTAAGGCCTGGCATTTTTCCTGTTACCCCAGGGATGTGTGAAGTGCATACTTTGTGATGGGTAGGGAGGATACCCCTCTGCTCAACTCACTACATCTTTTACAAATGTTAACGAGTTGTCCGTTATACCCTGTTGTCTGTTGTACCAGTTATACCTACTTCATCAGCTGAGGTTCGGACACCCAGTGCTGTGATATCGACAGTAAGTTGAGCCTATTTATGGGAAAAGGCTGGTGAGAATGTTTGGGGTGATTATTGCGTAGTTGATGCTGTTTACTTTGGTATGTAGAAGCATACAGTAGGTACTGTAGTGCAAATACTTAAAACAATAATATTTATTTGCAGCAGACAATATGTAACTTGAATTCTGCTAAGCCCCAGTTATGAAAAAAGGTACCAAGGAGGACCCTGGCAACTACCAATCCATCAGCTTCATCTCTTTACCTCAGAAGATCATGGAACAGATCCTCCTAGAAGCTATGCTAAGGCACACAGATGTCAGGGAAGAGATTAGAGACAGCCAGCATGGCTTCACAAAGGGCAAGTCCTGCCTGACCAATCTAGTGGCCTTCTATGATAGAGTGACCACATCAGTGGACAAGGGAAGAGCTATGGATGTCATCTATCTGGACTTCTGTAAGGCCTTTGACATGGTCCCCCACAACACCCTTCTCTCTAAATTGGAGACATACAGATTTGATGGGTGGACTGTTCAGTGGATGAGGAATTGGTTGTATGGTCGTATCCAGAGGGTAGTGGTCAATGGCTCAATATTCAGATGGAGACCAGCGACAAGTGGTGTCCCTCAGGCGACTATATTGGGACCAGTACTGTTTAGTATCTTCATCAATGACATAGTGGGATCAAGTGCACCCTCAGCAAGTTTGCAGATGACACCAAGCTGAGTGGTACTGTTGACATGCCTGAGGGATGGAATGCCATCCAGAGGGACCTGGACAAGCTTGAGGAATGGGCCTGTGTGAACTTCATGAGGTTCAACAAGGCCAAGTGCAGGGTCCTGCACCTGGGTCAAGGCAACCCCCAGTATCAATAGAGGCTGGGGATGAAGGGATGGAGAGCAGCCCTGCTGAGGAGGACTTGAGGGTACTGATGGATGAAAAGCTGGACAGGAGCTGCTGACAATGTGTGCTCACAGCCCAGAAGACCACCGTATCCTGGGCTGC